AAGTTTTTGGGTTTTTTTAGAACTGATCTTGCGGCTGTGGAGCTACAAACCAATAAAGGTGTGATTGCAATAGTAAAAACGGTATTTCTGGTGAAATAACGTCTGCGTGACCAAAACAAACGCTCAACGCTGCTGATTTTTTCTAGCCAAATATAAAGTTTTGTAAACTTCTACATACTATATGCTTACTTCATTGTACGGCTTCAGAAGCTGAGTTTTGAGGCTCAAAATCGTGCTAACTCTGTAATAAGATTGAAACTTGATTGAAAAACGGCACGAAAACGCAAAGATTTTCCAAGCGTCAAACAAAATACCTATCGCAAGAGCTTATTTTATCTCATAGCTTTGGTAGAAGCTAATTAGAGCGCGTAAACCACAGAAGAACGGCCCAGAGCTTTAGAGCTCAATCACTCCAAAAGCATTTGAAGCCTTCTGAAAAAAGTAACGGTCCTCGTTTTGAACTGCACTGGGTTCAGTGTGTAGCAAATATGTCAGACTTTGTTACTGTAATTCTTCAAAAAATTTGGACTCAAACGATCTTGAATGAAAAATGGACCTTTGTTTGAGGTGTTCGTATAATTATAACCGCTAAAAATTCGCATTAGGCGCAAAAACACTCCTACAATTGACATCGATTTCCACTCTTATGAATCATATACCGTTTTCGGCTCTGTTCTATCGCGTGGTACCAACGGCTTTTTGAGTTTCTCCCAAAAAGTCCAAAAACATATAAAATTTTGGGTGTTCGTACAATTATGAGCCGCACTTTATCTGGTTTCCTCGGTCCGCTTGGACCGAGGCTCATTCGGCTCCGCATAGTTGCAATATAAACCAGGGCTCGGCACAGCTGACACCGGGTCAAGCTGGATATCGTTTTTAGGGCGAGAGCAAAGGGTATACCGTTTTTCCAGGGTCCGGGGCGGAGAAGAGCTGCAAGAATGCCGTTGGCATGCCACCGGCATGCTGCCCATCAAACAAACAAAAGCGTTGTTTTCAGGCAAAACGCAATAGTATGACACCAAATTTGGTATGTGCATGCGCGTGGAGGACCCGAACTATGCCTCAAAAATTTATGAAAACTTATGCGTATGAAAGCTGCGCTGAACTTTTTTCTGAATTAGCTGGCACCGTGCTAGCTGGGTGCCAGCTGAGCTGACACCGACACTTTGCTCACATAAGTTTTCATACTTTTTTACATAAAACGTATCTACACCGTAAAAGTTTACATACAGAGAAGAAACAATTTCATAATGTTTTCTTTTCAGCGTTTCATAGCCATCTGAAAACTTCTCGATTTGCTCCGCAATTGAAAAATCGGCTTTTTTGCTTCTCAACATGTGACTCAACCACTTAAAAAGTTCAGAAAACTGTGAAAAGTTGTCCCATGAAATCAGCATGCATGAAAACCTTACTACATGTTTTTTATAATCAAATATAACGACGGGTCTTCAAAACAGGTCGAAGGGGAATTCGTACGAAATTTTCGAGATCAAACGGGACTTTATTTTAAAATTTCCCTGGTGCCAACTCGTGGCGAGCCCTGATATAAACTCAAGCCAGTAAAAACTTACCCTCACTTTCTTTTTCCTGCACCTATCGCAAATCCGAGCAGCGGCACTTCTTTGATAAACTTGTCTCCTTCCCATCACTCCGCTATGGAGCACCGCATTCTCCTCACCGCAAAATGTAAATGAGATCCAACGCCTCTTTTACATGTCTATTTCAAGTAACAACCCGGTAATCATTAATGAGCCTTCATCCTTGGTGTAATTAAACAAATTGATAAATCGATAGATGGACCGAGCAAATCGCCCCAAAATTAGCCTATAGTTGCGCAGGCGTTGAAAACATACGTGTGCAAAGTTTGGCGCTTTTTAGTTCACTCACCAAGATTTCTATTCGATACCTACTTCACGCAAACATACTTACAAACTTTGAGTTCGAATCGAATTAATGTTCGAGTATTCGAATAAAGTATTCGAAAAAATTTATTCGAAATTCAATTATTCGAAAATTTCAAAATATCGAATATATTCGATATTCGCTTTTTCGAAATTTGTCAAGTTCGAATTTATTTGATTATTCGGTCATTCGAAATTTTTGGTTTTCGAATATATTCGAACATTCGAATATTCGCTTTCAATAGTTATTCGATTATTCGACATTTTCTTGTAATAGAGTAATTGCTTGATAGCTTCACCTTTTGATTGCTATATCAGCAAATATCGTTTGTTTTTCAATTTGCCACTACATGGAGTCCTTCATTGTGCAGATTCGATCAAATTTGTTTAAATATTTGACATAGTCGATGCAAAGTATTCGTTTATTTAAATTTTTTTCTCGAATGTATTCTATTATTCGAAATTTTTTCACTTCGAAAATATTCGGTATTTGATTATTTGACAATTTTTCTTGTTTCGAAAATATTCGAAATTCGATTATTCGATTGAATTTCGAATATATTTGACTAGCTGATTTTCCCGGTCTAGCCTGAGTACTTCAGCTGATGCTTGCTCCAGCCCTCTGCCCCCCCCCTCCACTCCCCTCCCCTTCCCCCCTCCACCGTGTCTTCCCTTCCCACCTGCCATTATGCTGCGCTGCAAGGGTTTTCTGTATTAAAATAACTCACCCGCTGTAGGCTCGTCTTGAATCACCGCATCCTTCCTACCGCGAAAACCGAATGAACTCTACTGCTATTGTTTACACGAAATCATGGAAATGACTCGTTAGCCGATGTCGAGAACTCATTCTTATGCCAAGAATCAATAAATCAATGAAATGGTCCAGCGAATTGCCGCAAAAAATAGTGCTAATATTTGATTATTCGATTATTCGAAAAAAAAAACTCGAATATTCCAATGTATAATATACTAGTTAGCAAACCCGGCTTCGCCCGACCCTGTCAATAACATATTTGTAATCAGCATGCTCGATTACCTCTCTGTGCCAACTTCCAGCCCCGTAGCTCAAATTCTGCAAAAAATCGATAAAATCGATACAATAACGGGAAGTAGCCTATGACACGCTCCCTGCCCCGACGTGTATGTTTGCCAAGTTTGGTCCAAATCGGTTCAGAAATAAAAATTTCTATTCCGCACATACGTACATACATACATACAGACAGACAGACATTCAGCTTCATATATAAGATATATATCAGTGACGTACCCAGGATTTCGGCTCGGGAGGGGGGGGGGGCGGGGGAAGGGGACAAAAAATTTTTTCTGATGCTAACGCCACGCACCCAGAAAAATTCTTGGTACGCTTCTCAAAATTTGTGGCGTCAGCCACGTCCTCGGAAAAAATTTTTGAAGCTAAATCGAATTTTTAAAATTTTTTAAAAATTATTTCAATTCCTTACAAGTATAAATGTCTTTTGCACATTTTTATGAATCATGTAAGTAACTTTTAAAATTTTCTGGGCTGCGCATAGGCTTTGCGGTGGTGCTAGTGTTGCATAACCGTTACTGCGTGCGGTTTTCGATGCCACACTTCGTGGTTCAAACCGCTCGTTGTTGCTCCTGCACATACTTGTAGCACCGATCATGTTGCGAATAGCTTCACGTTTCGTTGTTGTGGTGTGAGGTTGGCAGGGATTACTATGTTCTAAGAAATTTCGTTACAATACCAATCAATATTAAAGTACGGTCAGATGTCTTCGGAGAGCTTGACGTACTGGACGGTTTAGAGATGTTAAGGGCCGGGCACACATCACGTGATTTCATCGCCTCGCGATTCTTCCAACAAGACAACAGTTCAGTTATCAGTTCGCATGTCGATCATCTTGCATTTCGGCTGTGATGGTTTTCCTAGACGACTAATCAAGACTAACTATTACAACCGAAACGCAAGATGGACATGCAACGAACTGGTAACACAGTTATATTTTTGCGAGAATCGCGAGGCGATGAAATTGCGTATACTTATGCCCGGTCCTTTAGAACGCTCATCCATTTCGGACTGAGTTGGTTCACACAACTGTCGTCGATGTATGGCTGTACACCAAAGGATAACCGCAAGTACATGAGATTAGTAACTCCTGAGCCAGTAAAACCTAGCAACTTTCAAAGTTTTCGCGACTATTCTCCTCCCCGAGAGTGGTGGTCTCTTCCCTCTCGATCCGTCACTGCTACATAGTATACTTTGTTCCAAATTGTATAGCAGTTCAATTATTCGGCACATTTGTATTCGAGTCATTCGAGTTCGGGGCATCGACGAGCCGGTATGTCGGCAAGTTTCAAACATAACCGTTTCGAATATTCGATCATATCATTTGCATATCTGTACGTTCGAATGATTTATTCGAATGTTTAACTATTCGAATAAATTTTCCGATTATTCTCGAAATTTGAGCTTGATGTTCGAAATAAAAAACCGTTTATTCAAAACTTCTGATTTTCGAATTCTATTTGGACTTGTTCATTCAAAACTTTCAAATTTTGAATTTAGTCGATATTTGTTCATTCGATGAAAAACATCCCAAAGTATACTACATAGTCGATTCTGATAATGTCACCAATGACAAGTATAAATGAACGAGATATCAAAGGCAGTGTCTCACCAAAATTGAGGTTGCGCGGATCTTCACATATTCTTCTACAAGGACCTCTAAATAGGCCTTTGCAACAAGTCCCACTCAATTTAACCCCCTCCACGCTGAGAAAAATCCGCTCAAAGTGGTACGCGGAGAGCGACTTGGTACGCGCGGACGATTCCTTCGGTCTCCCCCCTTACGCGTTTGAACATGTCCCTCCACTTGGCATCCACCTCCCCTCTGTTGCTGCCACTGTGGCTGAGGCTGAAGTTGGAAGGTACAACTCGTCCACCTTGCTTCCGCGGGGCCTCCAGAAAACGGGGTTTTTGGGAACCTCGTGCGATTTTAAGTCCATACAGTGCTAGACAGGGTCTGACAGGCTTGCAAAATGCAAAAATCTCGGCAACTAAGTTTTGGTGAGACACTGCCTTTAAGGATGATTACATAGCATGAAAAAGATATTTAGATATTCGTTTCTGTGGTAATGGAATCACGCGTAAGAAAATATCGTGCGCTGTCTATGGGCAGCAAGGATATTAGAGATGAAAGCAGATTACGGCATGAGCGACGAGCGATGCGGAGTGCCATGTATAAGAAGGAGGAAGATCTGGTATGGTATAAGTTTGTAATGGTATTTGAAAAAATCAAGGCACCTGCTTTTTGAGGGCACAATTTTTCAATGTGTGTCTCAATTATATGCCTCTTCTAAATTCAAAATAGGGAAAGAAAAGTCAAGGTTGCGACGTTTTGAAAGAAAAGAACTTTGAAATGAATTAAATTGTACGAAAATTTAAGCGTGGCTGAGCAAGTAGAGAAGAAGATTGTTTGAATGTGAACATCTCTGAAAGTCCTAATCTCTGATGTGTTAAACTGCAAAATATTGCCACACTTCCTATTACTCTTAGCATCTAACTTACTTTTATATAGGATTGTTTTAGCAAATAGTCAATTAACTTTTGTTGGCCCTTTACTGATTGATTTTTATACCGTTTCTTTCTTCGCCAAAGCCCAAGTTTGAGTTCAAAGTAACCTTTTCTCTTAGGCATCAACAAAAAAGAAAGAGACATTTGACGTCTACATCATTGCTGGAATCGCTGTAGTCGAACTGACTCGGACGATAGTATGAAGTGTTGCGAATGCATTATAGTACGACTGTCCCTCGGCTTTTTCTTATGTGCTTGTATCAATGCACATAAGGATCGAGAATAACTCTTCCTTATAAACAATATATCTTTTTCATTTTTTGGTTCAAGCGTGTCCAGAACGCCTTTAGATTGCTTGCTAGAATATCAGGCCAAATCGTGAAGATTTTCGCTCTAACTTAAATAGGGTAGGGACGGGGCTATGCGGTGACAAACCAAATTCGGTCGATTCGATCGATGGATTCGATCGACTTTGTCTGCAATCCTTCTAAGCGTTCCTCTATGCGGCAGCAAAAAGGCCGTCCAGTCTCACGTATGTACAGGGCTTTTCAACCTGAGAGTCGCAAGTTTCGCTTGCGCGGCTCCTCCAACGCGGCCGCCTCGCTCAGGCCGCGCGCGGCGTTTGCTGCGTATCGCCCGGATTTCGCCAAGCTTCAGTCGACGCGCAGCCAGCGCCACGAACGCTGCTCGGACCTAAGCGTGGCGTCCTAGCGGGGCGGGTGGGACACTCAGGTTGTAAAGCCCTGTATAGTGGTCCTCACCCCACTAGTCGGTTGGTGGTCGAATTCGAACTGGAGCAGGCCTGCCTCGGCAGAGCGCGGCAGACCGTCCCTCTGCCAACCGCTTGCACGTGAGTTTTCCTCTTATTTTCTTCGCATTTCTTTGCTATCTCTCGTGTTGCGGCAATGTTCTTAATCAGATTTTTGGACCTCGTAACGCTAACTGTGTGCAGTTGTGACGATTTGTTTTAAATTTTTTCCAGGTAAACCGGGAAGAAGGATGCGATTGGAGATTTTTGGATGAGAAATCTCTCTACCGGTAAGTGACATACACACAAATATGATTTGGTGGACTGTGTCAAGTTTTTCGTCAGAATGTGTACTCTAAACTTTTTTTTTGCGATGGGGCTGAAATTCTCTCAAAAAGCGTTTTCAAAGAGTTAGCGGACGAAATCTGAAATCTGATTAAAAACATTGCCACAACACGAGAGATAGCAAAGAAATGCGAAGAAAATAAGAGGAAAACTCACGTGCAAGCGGTTGGCTGAGGGGCGACTATATATGCATGACAGGCACATCAAAATAAATTATTCAGATTCAACTCTCACATCTTTGCTGAGAGGACATATCACATGGTTTGGAGTCAAGCACGTGCGTTTGTAAGCAGGGCTCTGCACAAGTGGCTTACGGAGCAGGCTGCATATCGTTTTGGGATGAAAAAGCAAAGGGATTATCGTTCTTGAGGGATTCGGTGCAGAGCCCCGGAAAATGCTTGTGTCATGCACACAACATTGCATAAAAACCAATTGCCAGCGAAGGAGGTTTAAAATGGCGGAGTTTGTTCCCCTACTGAAGTGGCGTAGAGAAAACAATGTCATATATTTTCTTCTTTTCACAAAATTTTTTCACGCTTTCTACATAACTTTGACCTGCATCCAAAATTCTATAAACTAGTCATTGAAACTCTCCAGTCCCCTTCCTTCCCGCCTAATTACAGCCCTCTAAATGTTTTAATGGCGGCGGCAAACCTGCGTTTTTGCGCGCCAGGACACCGCATGCCGCCAATTCCGAGGATACGAAGATCGTTAGTTCTTTTTATTGTCGATTTAATTTGTTTTTGTGATTTGTTCTATTCTTTTTTCTTTTCCATGTTTGATTCACAAGGATGGTCGTAGGGGATGTCGTGACTATGTTGTAAAGCCAACGGAGTTGTCTGCAAAATATGGCCAGAGCCACCTCGTGCCGCCTCCGATCGTAAGCACGCATCCATGTCAGGCGTTTACTAATGTTAACGGGCTGTATATAGACAACTCTGGCAGCGTTTCTCAAACTAGCTCGCTTTATACTGCGCCATACTGCTTTGCTGCACTCATTGAAGATGACGGACACACAAAAAAGTTGCTCTATCTTTGTTTTCCTGGTCAGTTTCTGGAGATTGGATCTAAGCTTTGTCATGAACTCTTTCGATCAAATAACTGTTTATTGCAATTTCATCTGCGCTTGCAGATGTTCTTCACTACTATGATACCCGAGAACCGCTGTTCTGTACAAGTATCTTATCAAAGTGCTTTCAGCCTTCATGGATACGCGGATAAGTCACGTATTAAGATATTCTTGTTGCTGATTTAGGATATCGTAGTTTCGTACTCTCTATTTGACAGGTGCAACTCTGCGTCGAGGTATGCTAGCCATTCTTCATTGGGTCTCTTTCGCAAAGATCTGATGCTGGGGGACCGTTAATTGAGATATAAAAAAAAACAATAACTCCTGCTTGCGTGAAATACAATATGCAGCAATTGTCTTTATAAATACAACGCAGCAATTTTCGTTTGAGCACTGCTGTGCGATCATAAACAAGACATCTGTAATGAATGGTGCCAGTCGATGACCCATCGCTAGCCCTGTGTCCTTTCAAAAGTAGCTTGATGGACCAAACATTCAGAACCGTGCTCTCTCTCTCTCTCTTGAAGGCGTTTAAGCAAGTTTGAACACATGATGATCGCGAGTGGAATATTCGGGTCCTAATTGAGACACTATCAAAGCGGCAGCAGAGTGGGGCAATCGCAATTGAGGTTTCTCTCGAATTAGACCCCACTACCTTTTTGGAGAACGGCTTGCACCGGCATGCCATTTTCTAGGGACCCATCTTCATAACGATTTCTGCACGAACTCTGCGAGCCGACGCGAGTCGGAACCGTTTGCCAGAACGACAACATTGTATGCGAGCATATTGCTGTAGTTGAATGATGATGCATTTCTTTTGCTATATTTCAGCACTATCTTTTGACACTCAAAGATTGCGTCACCTCGCGCCTATAGGGAACCCACTGAAGCTGATGTGTAGCTCAACGGTGACCTATGCGAATTTTGTTGTTTTTTGTTACCTTTGCTTATCGAAGGTTTACCTTCTCTGTGTGCGCAGCGTACTCAGTCAACGCTACTATAGCATTTCAACTTCAAGCAGTATTCGAGCAGCACATCGATATGCACTTTAAAGCGGAAATGAATTGCTAAATATCACTATTCCTTGAACTATCACAAGTATTCAATATTGAAGAAGCCTGACTAATACTGAATCAGCCTTTATTAAATTCGAAAACATATCAAATATACAAACGTACAAACGATAGTTGGACATGAAGACACGTAAAGTGAAGAAGTCGCACCGTGGGGAAAGAAATCTAACGAGAAAGCAAGCTGAGTCTATAGCGATCCAAGGGTTGGGTCAGACTGCGCGGCGCACGCGGCGTACGTCGCGTACGCTTCTATGATGAAACATACCAAGCGTACGCTGCGTATGCCGCGTACGCCGCTTTCCCAGCGTAGTCTGGCTCAACCCAAACGCAACTTCAGGAAGTGGGTCTCCGCGATCAATGCGAATTGACGCAGCCTATAAATTCTTAGCTGTGAAAAAAATTACGTTTTGTAGGCACATCAACCTCCAAGCTGTTTTGGAACCTTCTGAGAGCGCTTTAATCGCAATGTTCGTGTTGGGGCTGCTCACTTTAGGAGGCATTTTATTGAATGGCTTTTTGTAGCTAGATTACGAGCAGCTCAGGATGAAAGAAAGCCACTCCGAACTGCGTGCAATTCTTTTTCTGCGAATTTGTCAGCTCTAGCAAAGTAGTATATTCTAGGACGACTACTCTTAAAAACACCGCTCAATTGATAAACTGACACTGTTATCTGTTAGTCTTTTTTGCTCGCTGCAAGAGTATGCCCTACAAATGGATAACCCTATTAATATCTGAGACGGAACTCTAATCGAAGCACAAAAAGAGATGTAAGCAGAAATGATTATTGCCTAGAATATAGGCAGATTATTGCACGAGGTTGAACACGTTGCGTTTGACCGCAGTGGGTCGTGCTTGGAGAGGGCAGCAAGTAGAAATGTCGAATAAACGCTGGAGTGAAGCTCTCTATATGCAAATGATTAGTCTATACTTACCCTAATTTCACGCGTACAAGGCGCGGGGGATTTTTTTTCGAAAAACGACCAGCCCAAACACGGCAAAGGACTTCGCGAACAGAAAACTATATACAGCGCTGTATATTGCCTGAGAGTATCGTGCGGCATAAGTCTCGTTTTCCGAAACAAAACGAGGCGGCTGAGCGGCACGTTTGAAAAGTGGAAGAAGATGCGCCTTGTACGCGTGAAATTAGGGTAGCATTGATAATATGCAAAAACTCCTTCGCTGTTCTAAGAATTTTCTTATACGAAAAGTGTTGTTCGAGCGTACTCTTCTATATCTGTGTTTGAAGGAATCAATGCAGATTACTCTATTTTCACGTGCGCATGCCGCACCATGATTGCCTCAAAGGCAAACGCGCCAAAAAAATCCGCGTGCCATGAGACGCATCGACCGCGTTATAGTAGAGGAGCGCGACCGCTGTGCGGGGCACACAAGCAGCTATGCGCCCTGGTTTTTTTTTAGAGCAAACGGGAACGATCTGTACACGTGAAAATAGGGTAGGTATTACTTCTCAAATTGCGATCATAATTACTCTAACTTTACGCGTATAAGGCGCGGGGGAATTTTTTTCAAAATCACCAGCCCAGACAAGCCAAAGGACTTTACAACCAAAAGACCCTATAACGTGCTGTATATTGCTTGAGAGAATGGTGAGATGTAAGGTTGCTCACCGGAATACAGTGAAGCGGCTGAGCGGCTCGCTTGAAAATTCGAAAAATGCGCCTTATACGCGTGAAATTAGGGTACCACTAGTACTCCACTCTAAACATTCGTTTATTCACTTTGAATATTTAGGAGAGGTCAGCTTGTGGCTATGCCACTATAACACAGTCTTACTTTCGAAGATGTGGAGATAACGCTTCGTTATACTCCGCTCGTCTTGACATCACAGCGCGGGTGGTCTGTCCTGTTCTTTTTATACTTTTGACCAGTATATACTTTTTGTTGTACATGCTTTCTTCTTACCAGCAGAATTGAATAAGTGTTGCGTATAAAGAAAATATTTCTAACTGCTTTGCAAACATCGCAGAAGAATGGAAAGCATTGACACTATGTCACCTTAAAGCTACAAGTGGTATCATAATACAAAGCAGTTATGAAGGTTTCTGAAAGATTTCTGATTGCAACATGTGATAGATCTGAACGTTCTTTGATATTCTATAATTACAATAAAACATGAAACTAAAACTAGAGCGCAAGCCAAATTCCCAAACATTGCCGTTGAGGAAAATATCCAATGAAAATTGAAGGCGATTTGCACATTCTCAAGTGCCATCGGCCCTCTTAAAGGAAGCCTCCTTGGACCTTGATATGGTTTTACATGGCAGTGACAGACGGATGCATAATGTGCATCCCCCAGACTTGTTCACATACAGACATCAACGTGGCTGCCTTTCGCCATTTTCAACCAGGGCTCGGCATGAGGTGGCTTTTCGAATTTTTTGAAAACGAAGTCCCCTCAGAGTTCCCCACGAAAGTACGACATCACCTATGAAACGATCATGAGTGGATCAGACACGAATAACAAAAAATAATGAAACAGAACACAGAAACAACATAGAACGGACGAAACAAAACTAAAAATGTTCGCATGCTCCGAATTGGCGGCGTGCTGTGTCCGGCGCGCACCATCGCGCGCTTGGAGCGTGCTTGCCGGCGCCAAACAAAATATTTGGAGGGCTATAGCTAGGCGAGGAGGGGGTTTGGGGAGATTTAAAAACTCAGCTGTAGGGTTTTTGATGTAGAGCGAAGTTATGTAAAACATGTGAGAAAATTATAGGCGCCGTAAAACCTAATTGCCCGCGCCGTGCCTTGAACACCAGCGTAGGCGAGCGGTCGTCGCGAACGACTGTCGGTGTTCACTATACTCCAAAAAATCTTTCCTTAACTTTCATGTTGTTATCGTCAATGCAAGGTATATCTCGACGAAAGCCCCCCTCAAAAGCTTAAAAAAATATGTGTGGAAAGGACGCGCGCTCATTGTCGCTCAAAAAAAGCCTGTAGCGCTTCGGGACCAAACGTTTCCAGCCGCGCCGCGCGTTGGTGTTCAAAGCGACGCGTGGGCAATTGGGTTTTACGGGGCCTGTATGTGAAGGGAGGGGAATTTATGACTTCTTCTTTTTACAGCCACCTCAGGTGGCTGTCCAGGTGGTTGTAAAGCCACCTAACTCCGAAAAAAGTTTGCCGCGACTTTAATTCACATAACTTTTTCATAATTTTCTGCATATAGTGCTATCCCCCTATTGCCCATCTACGCACCCATTTTGAAGTCATTTCATCACTTCACTGTAAACAAGTCCTTTCTTTGTTTGGGACACCATGCTGCCGGCATGCCGGCGGCGTGGTGCCTCAAACAAAGAAAGGACTTGTTTACAGATCGAAAGAAGCGGTATGCTCTTCCGCAAAAACGATATCACCTTTGCTTTTTACCTCCAAAACGACATCCAGCTTGCCCGGTAAGCCACCTGTGCCGAGCCCTGGTTTCAAACGTCAACTCCATCAAATTTAAGCCGATTTTTCGAAGGTGACATGTTAAAATGATCGAAAGACAACCACGTTGAAGGTTTATATGAGAACAGTGGGGGATGCACCATACCTACAAGTTCATGCTTTTTTTTGACAAACTAGCCGGGGCAGTTTTCTTACCAGTTTTCTGAAAAGAAATTCCTCAGATAGAGGCTTCAACGTATTCACGCTTTACAAGTTGTATTATACAGTGCTGGCCATAGCTATAAAGCCACCCTAAAAATCACTGTAATTTGCTCTCTCTTGCTCCAAATTGTCCAAAAAACCACTATACTGTGTGCAAACTAACGTCATATCATTGACCAGAACGGCTTCCAATTTCGTTGATTTGGCCGAAGAAAAATTGAAAAATTTGAAAAAAGGAGTTCCCAAGGCTGGTCATAGCTATAAAGCCACCTCTCATTTCCAATCACTACTACGTTTTTTAAGGCTGAAATTTTTTGTACATATACAATATCAAAATATAAAACATTTACCACACTTGGAAGCAGTCGCCTTTTCAAAAAGAATATTCATCTTGCATTTTTTGCTTCAAATGTATAGAAAATTATAATGTTTGGGAAAACTGCCTTTTCACCGAATTCTCAAGCATTTGTTTGACTCGAATGAAGCTCCTAGGCTTCATCGAGGCTTTGCAATGAATATGGTGAAAAGCGCAGGAGTCAACATGGCGTAGTCTCTGATATTGATAAACGAGCCCCAACCTCACTTCCAAGTGGACGAGTTTTCGAACCGCAGAAATTGAGTTCTAATGCCCGAAAAGCTCTGTCACGTGCTCAGCACGTCGCCTGCACAGCAATAGACTCGTGCGCATAGCTTGGACGTCATCGCAACTTTCAGGATTTTGGTTCCGCCTTAAACGCCTTTTTTCCAAAAATAAGTGGTGCACTCTGCCTGATCGTGACACACTCTGACCTCTCGATCCAGCGGAAAACCGCTCAAAACTTCAAAATTCTAGTATTCCTGGCAGTTTCGTAAGATTTGGTTTGAAGAGGAGTTCAAAGCAGTAGAATTTGAAATCATGTGAGATACACTGCGCACAAACGAACTGCAAACAAGGCGTTTTAAGTTCAATGCTGCAAATACGTCTTTGTAAAAAGCCTGACAGTTTCTGCATGAGTACTCCACCATGTAAACAAGGTGTCAACTTCCAACCGAAAGTTTTCGCGCGTCAGAAATCGAGATCTGCGTTTCAGAAGTGCGTTTACACCTAGGTAAGATGGAGTTTCGTTCATCAATACCAGCGACTACGCCATATTGACTCCTGCGCTTTTCATCATACTCATTGCAAAGGTTCGGCGAAGTCTAGGACCTTCATTTTAGTCAAACAAATGCTTGAAAATTCGGTATAAGGCAGTTTTTCCAAACATTATAACTTTTTATATATTATGAAGCAGAAAATGCAAGATGAATGTTCTTTTTGAAAAGGCGACTGCTTCCAAGTGTGGTAAATGTTTTATATTTTGATATTGTATGTGTACAAAAAATTTCAGCCTTAAAAAACGTAGTACTGATTGGAAATGAGAGGTGGCTTTATAGCTGTGACCAGCCTTGGGAACCCCTTTTTCCAAATTTTTCAATTTTTCTTCGGCCTAATCAATGAAATCGGGAGCTGTTCTGGTCAATGATACGACGTTAGTTTGCACACAGTATAGTGGTTTTTTGGACAATTTGGAGCAAGAGAGAGCAAATTACAGTGATTTTTAGGGTGGCTTTATAGCTATGGCCAGCACTGTATTGTTCAAAACTTTGTCAGTGAAGGTTGGGCAATTTTCATCTATGAATGCATTGGTAGTTGTCAACCAACGATTTCGTCATGTGATTTGAAAATCTTACCCTGCTGATTGACTGCATCGCGGATATATTTTCCAAGACGCTATGCATTACGACATACAGAGACCTCGATTTTTGGAGGTTAATCAAGACGTTTTCTGCTTGAAAGTAGCTTCAGGCGCCGGAGCAAGTAGTAGATAGATGACAGAATTTGACTAGTACGGAAGGTAGGGTCAAGCATGGGCAACGACACGCCACACCGAAGGGGGTCGCAATGAGGGGTCAAAGAGGGAAAGGGTCGTAATCGACGAGATACTGAGCTTAAGAATGGCATCATATGTGTTAATGAAGTCAAATGAAGTCAAATAAGCCTTATGCAAATTACAAGCACACGAGGCATTGAGTTATCTTCATATACGCACAATAAGCATAATAAAAAAATTTAAAAAACTTAAGCATAATGAGTATTATTCGTAATTAGCATGTCAAATAACCACTGAGGATCAAGTTCTGAAAGGTTCTGAAGTTTTATTAGGCCCCCAAGTGAAGTGGTCAACTTCGAACACAACTGACTTTATTTTGAAAATGAGTTAGCTGCCTCTTTTTTGCTCTCAGTATAAAGCCCTATTCCTTCTTGTCCATTTGAGAAATTTCACTCCAACACCGCCAAGCTAAAGAGTTAGGAGCCAACCAAAACCTCTTCGTCTCACGTTCTCTCTCAGTTATTGTGCTTTCAGCAACTACTCAGTAATCGCCAAAGCAGGCGGCTATGCGAATTTTGAGCAAGCGGGCACCGGAAAAATAGTTCGCCGATTTTTTGCGATCCGCTTGCAGAAATTTGGAGTAATTTTGGCCAATTTTTAGACGAACGCTCGGAGAATATCGCGGTCTTTCATTAATAAGTTGCGGCCCAGTGCCTGCATTCTCGCGGACTTTCCGTGAGAATATGCAAAATTGTTGGGAGCTGCAAGGTCCTTTGTGAGAACGCACTGCCCAGGGTACCTTCCGCTGAAAGAAGGTACCCCAAACTCGGGAATCAAGTCATCGATGGCATCGCTGCCACATAGAGTCTCACCTTTGCTCGGCGTACGTCCGAAACTGCGTTAAAAGAGTCTGAGCGCTTGCTGAAAGTTGGGCCAGCGCTCGCTGAAAGAAATTATTTGCCGAGCGCTTGCAGAAAATGCTGCATTGCTGCCCGCTGGCACAATATACGACCGTAAAGGAAGTGCCGCCCGCTAAAGGTTTGGCCACGCCCCAAAATTCTGCTGACCGCCTGCAGAAAGGCGCAAGTTTGCGGACCGCTCGCCCGCGATTATGTGAGTATTACTCAGACTAAAGAAAACAATTTAAGCCCAAGTCACTTTTGTTACCGGGAGATCTAACAAGGGAAGGATACTTGGTGGAAGTGGCGTTTCCACATGTGATGTATACTGTCTTATAGAGCATGGAACGCTGATTCCAAATCTGCTTCCCAAATCTGCAAAGCCCCTCTGGGAGGAGAGTTCTGGGAATTTTTTGAGATAAAAATTCAATGATTTGGCTAAGATAAAAAAATAAATGTTGAGCTCTTTCTGGTGCTTAGAAGGAGTAATGACTGACATAGGTTTATTGGATTTAGGGTCTTTGTTCTATAAAACGCCTATGTAGTAAGTAATCATGGCCCCATCTGAGCTCACGGACTAAAGTTCTCA